TTATCAAGGGAGAAAAGACTGAAGTTGTCAAGGACTTCATTTTTCTTGGATCAACTATCAACACTAACGGAAGCCGCAGTCAAGAAATCAAATGACGTATTATTGCATTAGGCAAATCTGCTGCACAAGACCTTTTTAAAGTGCTGAAGAGCAAGGATGTCAGCTTGAGGGCTAAGGTACGTCTGACCCAAGCCATAGTATTTCCAACCTCATATGCATGTGAAAGCTGGACAGTGAATAAGGAAGACAGTAGAAGAATTGACGCATTTGAGTTATGGTGTTGGGGGAGAATATTGAAAGTGCCATGGGCTGCCAAAAGAACCAATAGATCCATTTTGGAAGACTTGCAGCCAGACAGAGTGTACCTTGGAGGCCAAGATGGCCAAATTTCATCTTCCATACTTCAGATATATTGTCAGGAGGGACCAGTCACTGGAGAAGGATATCATGTTTAGCAAGGTGGAGAGTCAGAGAAAAAGAGGAAGACCCCCAATGAGATGGACTGGCCAAGTGGCAGCATCAATGGACTCAAGCATGGCAACGGTACTAAGGTTGACCCAGGATTGGGCAGTGTTTTGTTCTGCTGTGCATAATGTCACTATGGGTTGGTACCGACTCGATGGCACGTAAAACAACAACAACACTGGCAAAACCTTAAGGTCTGGTAGGGACAAATGAGGAACCTTTTTGTAGGGACATTTTCACAACCCAGAGCAGACTTGGCCATCATGAAAGATGCATCACAGGAAGAAGAAAAAAAAAAAAATCACAGACCACAAGGGAAAATGAACCATGCTTAGGGAGAGTCAGTAAATGGCAGAATTTGTACCTCAAGAACAAGAAATAACAGAAACATCTGAACAAGACTTTTTCTGGAGAAAGGTAACAAAGCATGTATTAAAGTAAAAAATATATTTCTACAGCATATACTCCTAGTGGAGTACAATAAATCAATGAACCAGATTCACCTCAGGAAATGCAGCACCAGGTGCTGAAGTATAGGTAACGTTATAAAGGAACAAGAATTTGTTATAACAGTGCAAATTCAAACATTTCACCTACCCACCACAAATATACATCTGTCCAAAAAACATGTATAATTGCAAAACCCACAAATGTTTATCACCCAAATTTGAGCTATAGAATTTTCTTTCATGAGGGAGCTTCAAAGTTAATGGAGAAAATTACATGATCTCTTAATTCTATTTTTCCCTGAACTTTTTTAAGTCCCTTCATATATATTTTATTTCAAAATAAATCTTTAAAAAGTTACTTTTGGTCTCTTTCTTAAAAGAATACTTAAACTTCAAAAACAAAACTTAGAAACAGAAACTTAAAAGAAGTATCGAAATTAATAGATGAGCTAATTTGGAAGACTGGATGTTATATTTCAGGGGGTTTCTACAAGAAGGACAGAAAATTGTTTGCCAAGACAGAGGGTTAA